ACTCGAAAACTGGGATAGCATCAATGTCAGCATGTGTTGCGAAAGGAAGATGATGCCCGACTCACCCCATTCCCTACGAACACCTCCGCCTTTTCAGCAATGGCCATGTCAACGGCCATACCGACGTAGCTCTGCGCAGCGTCGAGCTGAATGTCAAGCGAACTTGTCGCGTCCGCCCATCCATCCTCGCGCAGCGCGTCCTTGAGCCCGTTAAGCCACCAGCCCCACCCGTTCGTGAGGAGGTAGACGCGGCTCAAGCTCGGGTGGTCCTCCCGCACCTTACGTAGCCGCTCGACAATCTGCTCCGTCGTCGGTAGGCAGTGCTCGAAGTAGTACTCCGTCTTCTCGTCCTCGCGAGTCGTGTTGATATACGGCGTGGGATCGAACTTGTCCGGCAGCGACGGGAACTGGTTGAGGCCCATATATTCCGAGTTCCAGCCGGCGAGACGCGCGCAGTGCCGTTTGAAGTCGCCACGGCGGAGGTGTACGGCGACGAGCCCAGGGAGGACCCCCGAGGTGGAAGAGTCATAGAGAACCTTGGCGGAGTATGGTTGGAGGATCGGGAAGTTTCGGAAGATTGCGGAGTGTACGAGGGGGGACCACATGAAATCGGTGAGGATGGGGGAGGCGGAGAGACCTGGCCACAGTGAAAGGATTTCCTTCCCGCCGAAGAGGCTTGGAGCAATTAGCCTCGGATAGGACACAAGAGAAACAGGCGCGGACTTACTATTTGTCGAATATAGGGTCTGTTAGCGAATCCTGCTCTATCTCGACGCAGCTATCCTCGACCTTCGCGAGCCGCTGCACCCACCAGTCCATCAGCACGCTGCCGTCCGTCCCCTTGCTCGGCGGCGCTCCTTCCGTGGTGATAATCCGCCGCTTCTCCTTTGGACAGACGGAGTCCCAGAACTCCGAACTCACCGCTTGGGGGCCGGACATGGGCCCGCCGGCGCTAGGCCCCGAGATGAATGCGTTGATGGGCATGCGCGTTGGTCGTAGCGCGAAGTCGTAGATGGTGTACGGAAAGGGGAGTTTTGACCACACGTAGTCTTCGAAGACGTACGAGCGGTTTGATAGGTACGCGAGCTGTGACATCAAGAGGCTGCGAGGTAGTGCATCAGTACATCCCAAACGTACACGATTCAGAAGAACATCGTCATCCGAGATCGTCCGAACGGCGCGGTACGAGTCTGTCATGACCCATAGCTGGCCCCCGTACGCCCGTCGCCGCGTCTACTGACTTGACGCCTGCTATGAGCTAGAACAGGCACACAGAAATCGTATAGATCGCATAGACATCCCAGAACAACGAGAAACCCGCCAATCCAAGAGAGGAACACTCACATTTCTTGCAAGATGTTGTTCAACCCATGCCCCCATAGATGCCCCGGGAACCTCAGATACTTCGGCTCGTTGCCTGTCCTAGCATTCACCACCGCAGCCGACACGTTATGCTGCGGCAGGTTCCTCTCAAAGAGCCTGATATCCTCGTAACTCGGTGGGACGCCCGACCACAGCACGCCGACGACCATCAAGAGCGGTATCGACACGAGCGCAACAGCAATCCTTCGAACAGTAAACAGATGTAGACAAGCATAGAGCAGCGATCGCGCCGAACGCCGTCGATTCTTGTTGAACGCGCTCGCTGGCGAGCCTGCGCTGTTGGACGGGAGCAGCTCATAGTCCTCCTCCGAGCGTTGGTGGCCGGTGGCGACCAGCCTGCGCAGCCATGCGCTCATCTACCGCGAAGCCTAAAAGACAGCAAAGCGAGCGACCAGCCAGCGAAGGGGTTTATAGAGCGGGAAACGAGCGAGTGTGAGCCAAGTCTCATTATAGCTGCGGCTGCGTGATGCATGGCTGTGGGTTCCAAGCGCTAAGCTTTGATCCAATCCGGGGTTGTGGCGACAAGTCCGTCGGAATTACATCTCGTCCGTCGGTCCGTCCTGCGTCGACGAAACGGTCGAGTACAAAAAATATTGCGGATACAGGGTGAATGCCATAAATACAAGAGTGGTGGTATTACGGTATGTCGAGCAAAAAAAAGGTCACAATGCAGGGTGCGCCGGTAGTCCTCCGGACGAAACAAAACAAATGGGGATAGCGAGCACTACGGGCCCATCCCCCATATCTCCAATCCAACACATTCGAATGATACGTTCTCACCCTTGCGCGGGCCTCTGCTGCACAGCGGCTCGTTGCCAAACGTTGGGCACCGTGCGGACGAGCCGTCCAGGAGCGTGTCGTCCAGGTACAGCCCATAGTGCCCGTCGCTGAGATGTGATCATCAGTAGACGTGAGACGAAGGCACTGCAGATACATACCCGCCGCCAAAGCCAAGGTAATCGGGTTCGCACAGGGCGACGTAGTCGTTCTTGCCCGCCCATCTGTACACCTTGACCTTGCCGCCCTGCATCCGCCACAGAAACCTATCATTGAAGGAAAGATCAACCCATCTAACGAGCCGCTCAAAGACTCAATGTACGAGGAAACTCACGATTCGCCGCCACCATAGTACGACCCCTTGGACGGGTGCACGCCCTCGCCGACCCATACGCCGAACACCGCGTCGCCCGAGTCCTTGATCGCGAGCAGCGCGCCGCCGGGGTGGGACTGGCACCGCGTATAGAGCGTGCTGAGGGAGATACCATGCTGATCGAGAGAGTAGAGGAGGGACCACGATTTAGGGAGGCGCGCGAGCGCGGGGAGGTACGGACGTATCTGTGTAGACACACGGTTATCAGCAAACTATGCGAATGGAGCGGGCGAAAAAAATCGGGAATACGCACCTGGTCAGCGATCTCGACCGTCAGTACGGGGCTCGTCATCTCCTTCCTGCCCAGAAGCCTCACACTCTTCCGTTCCACCGCCTCCTTCTCAAACTCGAACCCGCCCTTGTTCCACTCCCTATCCCCGCCAAACCCTGGCGCGCCGCTGGGCGGGACATACGTATGCGCCGCAAACGGGTTGGAATGCGTGATGACTTTCGCGTTCGCGGCTATCTTGGATTCTCGCGATGGCGGGACCTCGGGGAAGGAGAGGACGTGAGAAGGAAGCGAGGCAGGGAGCGTGGACTGCTCGTGCGCGCGTGGATGGGGCTGATGAAGGATCTCGGACGACGCGCGCTGGGCGTGCGCGAAGTACCCTGAAACGCCCTCGGGCTCGGCGGGCGTCGGGGTGGTCGTCGCCGCTGACGCACGTGGGTTCGAGAGGAGCGTCGAGATCCAGCGCGTAGGGATCGAGGAGAGCGTGGACGAGCGCGAGTGGCGGCGGTTATGCGTTGGCTCTGTGGACTGGGATCTCGGGTTTGGGGGAGCTTCCTGTGGCGGGGACGATACGAGCGGGGTAGAGGCGGGCTCGTTCAGCTGGAGGTGTCGGGTTATCTGGTCGAAGCTCGATTTGGCCACCTCTGTCGTGAGGTCGAGGAGATCTGCGATCTCGCTTTGTCCTTCAGTAGTAACAGGTGGAGGCGGTGATATAGGCTTCTGAGGTGCTGCAGAACTCGACGGCGTACCCGACCCCGACCCCGACGCTTTGCCAGACGTCGTACCCGACGAAATCCAATACAGCGGGTCGTCCTCATGCTTCAACAGCTCCTCCACCAGCTCCCGCTGATTCTCCTCCGTCGCCGCCTTCGCCTCCTCCGTGAACTTGTCGAAGAAATCGATATTCTGGATAGGCGTGATGGGCGTGAACTCGTCTCGCGCGTGCAGGGGATCATCGCTCGCCGGGACGGACACGAAAGAGCCAAACTCCGAGTCCGCGCGCCTGTGCGACATGGACATGGACGGCAGCCGGGGTTTCACCGGGGGCTCGGGCTGCGTCTGGACGGGCGTGCGCGGTGGGGTCGGCGGGGAGAAGAGGGTGGCGAAGCGGTCAATGGACTCGTCATCTTCCTCTGGCTGGACGCTGTCATTGGTGCGTGCTGGTTGGGCTGAGGGAACTGGAATGAGAGGAGGGATATTTGGGAGGGGAGCTGACATCATGGGAGTCCGGGCGTAATGGCGTCTGTATCCAGTTGAGACAATCGTAGTCTAGAAAGGTGTAGCCTGTCATACAATTTATGAGTCATGAGTAGGGTTAGAAAGTCAAAGTTGAAGGACGCACGGATGAAAGTACAACGCAAGTGAATCCTGGACTCAGACCGTGTTCATCACTTCGTTCTGTAACGTCGGCAGGGCCGTTTAGGTAACTCTCGAAAACGAGTAAGCCATGATTTCCCTGACCATACGGTACCAAAACGTTGCCAGAATGTCGAAGCTCGCCGGCAGGGAACGTCGTAGTCGGCGACGGCGTGAGGGTCGTCGGGAAGACGCCGAGGGTGGGCACGTGCAATGTGGCGGTTGTGGCCACACAGCGCCAAACACTGGACTTCATGCCAAGGGCACAACGCCGACTTCGTCCTGTCGGTTGGGCTTCGGAAAGCGTCAGGCAAGACGTCCTTGGGGTATTTATTTTCTAGGCTGGTTACCGCAAGTATGATCCGCTGCAATTCGCTGCATCGTCTCGCTCACGTACGCCCTCGATTGAATACCAGGAACTTGCACTTTGTGTTGCTTAGCCTTACGAAGCAGGCGGACACAAGTTATGAAGTGGATCCAGGGGATGATAGGTAATACGCTTTGTTTTTCCAAGCCCCACTTACTATTCTATCCGCTAACCAAGGTTTTCTATGTGTATCTGGAACACGTCAGCCAACGCGCAATGGCCTTCACTCCGAGGCACTAGTGCATGGACTCCTATAGCCACCATCGCAGTACAGCCTCCTCAATAATTTCATTGGCACGTCTAAGCACTCGCATGCCCGGCTCATAAGTTATTGATCTGTCTGACCTGTCTCGGCTAGTTCTACGCGTCTTCGGCTCTCCGTCTGACTCGAACGAAGTGTCAACACCCTTAGCGAGTGTCAAGCCGGCTAGGCGCACTAATGCCTAACAAACGTTAGAGCGCGAAAAATAGCGTCACGACGTTGTACAATGCTGGGTGATCCCAACGCTGAGGAGCTGGGCAGGCCCCGCCGTAATACGAATGGTGCGCTCTTGAATCTCATGACTTGAACTTCGTACTGCAGATAAACTACTACTCGCCCGGTTAGATGATCAAGAGTGAGAAGCTCGCATGTAATTAGACAACCCACCACTCTATCTGCTCGAACGTTGTCTGCGCTCAGACGCATGGTCTGAGGCGTAGTCGCCTCGCTTATGTATCTATGTGTGTCCCTGGTATCAGAGGTACGTCCACTCACGCGCATGGTCCATCATTCTGTCTAGTATCCCGCTTCTGCTTATACGCGTCGTTCGCCATTCCTCTCGAGACGCATCATAATGACTCGGCGAAATGCACTGTCGGAACAGAATGCACGCCAACTGACTCCAGCCCAGCTCGTTTTCTGGCGTGGTCCAGACAATCGCGACGCAGCGTCACTTGCATTGACATGCTTACCTCTCGCTGAAGGTATCGCAGCTGCGACGCTCCACCATCGGATACTGGCAGTTTCTCCGTGACAGTTTCGCAGAATATATTGATATGCAGATATGTTCTGTTGGTTCTGTAAGGATAAACTATGCCGAACATACCGCGATCGTGGTCCTACGCGAGTCTCTTCCAATGTATCTGCAGTTCGATGGCCATTTCACTGATTGCAATGCCGACAGATGGACGATCAGTCGTCCAAGGACATTGAGCCCATCAACACTGCCAGTTCTGTCTCATCCTTTCTACAAGAGGCTTGCTGAGAGACATACTCCTCTAACACAAACCACTGTTGCTCGCCACTGACCGTCCTCTAGTCATCCCCTTGCACAGTTTCCAGGCTAGGAAACATGCGGAAAATTAACCTCGCCACCGGTAGGGAGATGAACCAAATGCACGCCGGGCCTCCATTCCACACTGCTGGTCACTGGCCATTTACTCCATTCACGCAGCCTCATCGGCATCCTCTTCCTCCTCTCGCGTTTTCCAATGCTCGGAGATGTACTTCTCTAACACCTCCCGCGCGGCCCGGTTGCCACCCCCAGTCACGGATCTCAGATTGGGGAACATGCGACAAAGTAGCCTCGCCACGGGTAGAGGGCGACGGAGGCTAGAGGCAGCTAGCTCAAGGTGGTAGAGGTCCTCCCCGATCCCGAGGTCCTCCCAAGTACCGTCGAGATCAGCGTTGTCGTGTTCAAGGTCGGCATTAATCGCAATGGTCAGTGAGCTCAGGGAAGGGCAATATCGCGCGAGGCTCGTAAGTCCGCGCAGGGTGAATCTCGTGTCATTGGCATCGGGATAGTCTCCGAGCTGGAGCTCGAAGAGGCGGGGCCACGCCTGAGCGAGCTCGTCCAGGTCATCATTATCGCCGTCCACAGTAGTAGGGATGTCCAAGAGCAGATATTCCATGTTTCGAAAGACGAATAGGTTCCGAATCGTGTTGAAGGGCAATACGTAGTCCAGCGCGTCGCGCAGAGGGCTATGATGCTGGCCCCGTACTGCCAGAGACTCGAGTAAGCATGGATCACAGCTATTTTCACGGAGAGTCTTCAGTGCCTCTGCAATCTCAATCGGTTCTTGATCTCCCGAAGTATTATAGGCATGGAGTATTACCGCCCGTAATGAATGCTTCCCGAGGAAGCGAAGAAACATTGTGCAGTGCGAGAATGTCTGTCCCCGGACGTCTAAAAGGCGCAGCGCTGGAAATGCGGAGCATCCGGACCAAGTAGCTCCCAGAGTTTGAACGTCTAGAATGTTCGCTGGTAAGTCTAGGCAGATGTCGACGAGTTGCGGAAGCATAGCGAGATGTATCACATCAGCAGGGGTGAGGGGGAGGTCCCAGGCAAAGGTCTTCAGCTGCTGCAGCGGCGAGGGAGAGGAAAAAAGAGCCCCTCTGCGATATAGATATCTTGTCTTCATTCTCTTCACGGATGGCATCTCAAGCACAAGATTATTCAGTTCCGGTGTCGCAAGACTCAAGAGATCACCAAGGCCAGAGAGCGTCGGTAGGGACTTGCACCCGCAGTCGTTGAACTCGAGTGACCGGAGGTCCGGATTGAGGAGCGGCTGCAGACATGCGAGGAATGGCACATTACTGAAAGACACAGACAATTTCCGCAGATTCGGGAGAAGATCTTCATAATATTGGCGGCCGTACGTGCACATGTCATGAAGAGTCTCTGCAGAGATATCAGTGCCAACGAACAACGACCGGACCCTCGGGGCGTAGTACTGGAAACGTGCCCAATCCGTGGGGAGCAGGGGACGGCAGACCGACTGAACCAATAAACAGTAAGAATAATGCACATGGGGATGGAAAGTTGTGCCAGAACGGACTCACAATTAGGCCACTCTCGGGATCGACATGCCATGCGTCGTCTGGCAGGCACTTAAGCAATGGCACAAAGCTGTCCAGAGTTTTCCACAGCTCGTCGACTGCTACACCGTGGATCGTCTTGCAAGTGAGGGACAGAGACCTTAAATTCCGCCCTGGGCCGATATCACCTGCCGATACAAATTTGGCGATAACGCAGAGGAGTTCGGAGATTTGCAGGCACCGGTGCATCTTGAAGATGGCGGGGTACAGTGAATAAAGCGCAGAGTGAATAAGTGCGAAGATAGATGAGTGCGAAGATTTCGAAATAATTGCAGTGATAAGAATGCAACATTTGGGCAGCTTAAGTATCCTCTCTACGCTATCCAAGCGCACTCTTTGACGCCACTCACTGATGTCCAAGCCCACTCTTGCCGGGATTTCGTGGCTCACTGACGTTTCGTCCAAGCGTTGCCGCTGCCTCAAGCGTCTACAGGTACCGTGGCATCTATAGTCAGATTTGTAGAGCTCGAGGGTGGAACGTACATAGAAGTCTCAAGACAAAGTTGCAGCTATGTGCATACTAACAAAGCGCATGTTTCAGACACATGCCGCCGCGATAGATTCTGCTGCAGCCTCGCTGCTGCAGCATGGTCGGTTCCTGGGGCATTGAATACCACCAGCAGAGCGTGCGCGGATGCTGGAGTAAGACAGAGAATGCGACGAGAAATAACGACCCACAAAAGCTGTAGGCGAGACCTCAGTCTGGCTCAGCCCATAACCCTCAAGTCTGACAGCACGATTCGATGAGACGAGATGCCCTCCAGGCCCAATATTCTGATATGTACTGCGACGGGGCTGAGGATGCCGCGCCGAATACTCGGCCACCCTTGCGATAACGGTTGCGAAACATTCAAGACGGTGAGGACTCGACGTCCAAGGAGTGGGCCAGCCCGCCGACGTTCACTTCAGCGGCAAGCGAAAGAGATCCATCCTATCCAATAAATTGTGAATGCGCGTGAACTGAATCACACGCGAAGACTGAGTGCATGCAAAAGGCTGCACTGCTGATCCAATCATCTGCGGTGAACACAAATACCTTGTACAATGTGGGAAATGAGACATAAGTCTTCCCCTCCAGCGTGGAGGAAGCATCGATGGCATAACCAATCGTCCATTCGGCCGGCTGGTGTGCAGTATATCACGATTGACCATTGTGAAACAGGAGACAGATATGAGACCAATGTGGCACGGGCCGCCTGTGGAACAGGATAAAGCACAGAAAGAAGGGTGGCAAGTAGCGCATTGAACTTAAACTACGCAACGAGATTCCCATCACATGATCGTGTCCTCCCTTTGTGAACGCGCTTGGACCCGCGCCACCCTCCACCCTCGCGTCGATCACGAAAGCCCAAGTATGCTCTACGGGGGACGCACCTTTCAATAATCTGGCGGATATACGACTCGTAGTCGCTGCTCACAGCTCCGGATGGCCATCAAGCGCGTCCGGTTCAGTTTCCTCTTGTGTCTCGAACCACAAGGGATAGCTATAAGCGATGTACTGAAACGTGATTACTGGCGGCAAGGAGGGACTGATCCGCACCGGAATGTTTACCTCTGGAATGGTTTTCTGTGTCGACCTTCCATATCCATCGAGTACGTGTCATGGACTTGAAGCTTCATCATCGTCACGAATACCCGTCAATATAGATGAACATTTCACTGGGCAAGGACACGCACCTTTCGTTGATTGGTAGACTGGTCGATATTGACCTCGACGAGCGCTCATAGCGCCGGAGAGATACTCCCCTGGTTGAGAAGCAAGCAGGACCTCACACGACCGCAATCAATGGTATGATGGTTTCAAGCCAGAAGAAGCCGACGGCGGGACTGACCCAACCATGCTGCCTCAAGTGAAGTAGATTGAGAAAGAAAGGTGCGCCACCACAAAGGCGTGCGTAAGGGATGTTAAAGTGGTGTTCCGTACTTACAATTGTACACGTCTGTTATATATCTTAGCTATCATCCCTCCTCCCCAAGACAGTATCAATCGAGAGAGCCGGTGACGTCCACCGCGAGCACCGGCTCCAGGCAGACGAAAAAAAATACCGTGCACGTACCTTCGTGTATGCTGACCGAGCAGATTTACTGTGGAGGAGTCGAGAGGGCCCCTCAGAGGTAGGCAGCATTGTCGGTGCGTATGCAGGTACGCCACTTTGCTATGATCTAGACTCTGAAGAAAGTCGGCCAGCTCACAAGAGGCCGAGGGGCCTCGAGCGGCAGGGACCTGGAGGAACGTATGGTATGCGCATATAGTGTAGAACTCCACTGGCACGCGGCCGAGTCCCCAGCCGAGCGAGCACCCCGGGAGACGCTCGTCCGGAGGCGCGGGGGAGGTGAACGCGCGCGGCTGGGATGACGCGGCGTGGCTGTTGTGAGTGACGGGATGCCAGCCGCCCGAGCACGAGGCCGGCGGACGAGCTGCGCACGTATACGCTGATTCATCGAGGGGGAGATTGAACGATGGCGTGATGCAGATGCGGGGCGACGGGATTATTATCATCGGGGACCGGCCACCCGGGAAGGCGCCCTTCACGTCCAGGCGCGGCGCCCGCGCCGGTTTGGCAACGCGAGCAAGGTCGTCGATACCGCGCTCAGAGTTTGCGCTAGATTCGGGGCGACGTGACACGCGGAGAAGGCGTGCATTTTCTCGGTGAGTTGAGCAGAAGGTTGGCATCACATGCAAGGTCGTACCTCGACTCGGCAGGGACGGCTGCATGAGTGCGCGGCGCGACGCTGGGTGCTTGTTCGCGGGTGCTCTGGTACGACACTTGCGGGAGGGAACGTGGACGCGGGCAGGAAACCAGGACGAGAGAGATGTGCTAGGTGATAATAATGTAGAGATGGTACGGGAATGTGGGTGAGTGGCAAACCGGGAAGTGAGGGCAGGCGTACCACAGTCTCCGTCTACACTACGGGGCTCCCGGAACCGGGATATAGTTGCGCGATCAGATGGTAAACTGTCGGACTGGGGGCGAGGAGGCGGGTGAAGCAAAATCGGGATTGACTCGCTCGCTCTGGAGTAGAAGAAGCGGCAAGCGTGGAGACTCACCAGACCCCGTCCTAGAACACAAAGCAGCGGGCGCATCTCACCCAATGACGAGCCAGCCCAGCGAGCGGCGCGGCTCGCATGACCGCGCCGCGCAAGGTGTCGGACACCTCCGGGCGCAACTTGATTCCAGGCCGGCCCGAGTCGTCTGGTGTCCGGCCGATACGTGCTACGAGGAGCGGGGGACGGTGCGCGCTGGACCGATACCGGAAGGCAGAGGCGGCTGCATGGGCCGGGGTATCAAAATGCGCCCGGACGGGTATGGCGAGAGGCCAGAGGGAGGGCGATGAGCGCGATCCGGTACTGGGGTGTGCGATGATCGCTGCGGCAAAGTTGAGTGACCGGATAGAGAGCAGGACTCGCTCAGCGCGCATGTTCGATTCAAAGTGGTAACCCCAATTGCAAGGACTGTACAAGCCGACTCGGACGTTGAGAACAAAGGACGGGTCCGGTTTCTTCCGACTGCTTCAAGACCGACAGCTGCGCCTCGCACTACTCTCGAGTCCTGCCTCGATTCCCGCCCTTCCCTTCGTCCGCATCTCGTCCGAGCCAATCCTCTCATCCCCGGCTTTCTCTCGCCGCGGAGTCGTTGCTATACATGACATTCCCCCATCTCTCGCTGGCTGTTTCTCGCCCCATCTATCGATGTCCCCCTCCCGTTGTCTCGCTTGCCCCGCGCCCGGGGAGAACCAGCGGCAGTTTCTCGCTCTGCAGAACCAAATATCACCTTGTGTGGGTTGTGCGGAGCGTGCGGCTCCTCGCTGGTGGCTAACCGTGGGGCGGGACTGGGGCGGGAGGGCGTGGCGCTCCGTCCCATTCCCCTGCTATACGTCCGTCCCTCGCTCGTATCACCTCCTGTGCCCCGTCAAGCGACGCCTGAATGTTTGATCCCAAGTCGTCCACATCCATCTCGACGCCACGCTCCCCCGTGTTATGTCAACTGTCTTTACTCGCTCGGTCTTCTCGTTTCTCCGGGATACAGAAGCTTCGTAACGCTAGCGTCCGTACCACATCTCCGAGCCTAGAGCCCGGCCTGCCTCATCGCGTGGAGCCCTCGCCGCCGTCCCTAGCGCCCTTGCTTCTTGGCATCCCAGTTGCACGCATGCATCGCATCGCTTATTCGCGCCGTCCCTGGCGCCCTCCGCCCCCTTGTGGAGCGTGCATGCGCCCAAGAGCACTCGTGTACTTCGCCTTATCCCGCGCGTCGACGGGGCTCGGCGTCGGTCATCCACGCCTCGCCCCACCACTTCTGAGTTTCCTGCATCGCATGTGCCTGTTGTCATCGCTCGCCGCTGGCCACGCTCGAACCGTCCGTTCCTTCCGCTCGCGTCCCTCCCGTCCATTCCCGTCTCAGCTCCCCCGCCGGCGGTGATCCAGCGTCTTCGCTCACTGTCGTTCTTTGTCCGCGCACGGTACGCACGCGCCCTCTCCCTCCATCCCAGCTGTCGAGCCAGGTGCACGCGCGCACGGGGACGGGGCGCGCCCTTCGTGCGGTTCTTGCGGGCTTTGGGACGGCTCGCGGGTTTGGAAGGCCAGGACATGGGTATGTATGTATGTACGCTCCTGCGGGGGGTCTGCTGCCTTCATTTTTCAGGGCCGTGAGCGTAGTGTGCGGATATTGATGAGCTGCCGGGTGGGATTGTCCCTCGTGATCGGGGTGCGTCCTCGGCCGGCGTGGTGGTGGTTCGGATGACTCGGAGAGGCGCCCGCTGATTCTGAATGTAGCACCAATGTCTGAGCGCAATTTGGCTCGACAGCGCAATGGCTCACGGAAAATCATGTGTTTGGTGCGTAACCGATTACTTGCTGTACGCCGTGGCGCGAGAGGAGAAGGATGCACGCATGCTGTGTGAGCGGGTAGTACGCTCGTTCACGGCGAGAACTCTCTACCACGCCGCCACTTCCCCTGCATCCTCTCGCTTTCCTCGAGGATTGAGGTCATCCCCCCGTCGCTGATCTCTCCATCACTCCCGGATCGAGAAGGGGACGCTCAGTACAGCGTGTCTTCTCGGAGTACGTACCCCTGCGTGTCGGGAACTCCTGCTCGCGGGCTGATGGTCAGCTTTCCGACTGCGTCCAGCCACTGACGCCAATATGGAGAGGTCAGCCGCCCAAACATTACTCTCCGCGGGCTCATCCAGCTCGTTGGACGCTGTCCCCGGCTAAAAGGGTTACTGGCTGTAGAGGGCCTGGTTATCGATGTTTCAGAGGTATCCTACGAGGAATCGGTCGCGCAGCACCATGTTCCGGAATCTGGAACATCCCTGCTCATGCTTAACACGAGGTGCCCCCACTGACGAGGTCAAGCGATATGTGAAGCTGCTCATGCGTATTGAGCGAGCGAGTCCGGGAAGGCTTGTCTGACTTGAAACTCATCCCGTCATCGTCGATCTGTCTCGCGCTGGAGACTCGAACACGGCCTGGCTTATTGCGCTTGTGAGTATCTTCTCAATAAGGTACGAGGGTCTGTACTCACGACCCTGCACTCAATATGGGAAATTGACGGAATATCACTCAACCGGCATTGTATACTTGGGAGACTGCCACTTTAATTCCCGCTTTATAGACAAAATGGGAAAAATCTGGTACAATAATGGCATAGTCACGGCTAGACAATGCACGGAAGAAGGCAATATATCTAACGCAAATATGGAGCATCTGCACACATGCAAAGGAACAAGAAAAGTGTTGGTGATATACGCAAGATGGTATTAATAACTCGGAAACCCAGGACTCATAACCTGCCATGCGCAGCAGTGGCCCACAACCCCAGGTACCTAGGGGAGAGGCGATAGTCAGTCAAAAATATGCTCCGTTATAATTGGTAACCTCATAATCGAACTCACCACAGGCTCGTCAGGCATCAATCTTTCTGCCTTGTCTTGGATCCAGTGATTCTCCATAATTGGGGGAGCAAGAATCGATTGCGTATATATAGGAGAAGTATGACCCGGTCCATCCAAGTGGCTATATCTCAACATAGAAATAAATACTCGTTGTGGAGGCTTCGGATTAAGGATAAGGGCTGTAATTCGCGCATGAAAAAGTATGGATTACACCTAATGTGGAGAGCTCTCCGTGTCCCTACTTCATGGTCTCCAACGGGTTTAAGGACATAGAGGGTAAGCGTTTGCCGAGGATGCTGAGGGAGGGAGTCAAGGAACCTTGTACAGTACTACGACAAGAAGTCTACAAGCACACCACTGCTATTGATAAAGCAGAAAAGACTGACACACAAAAAATACACGGGAAAAATCTACTCTTCCTTGACATCCTTGGAGTCCCACCAGGAGCGTTCCTCTCGCCGAATGCGATTGAAAATGCCTATATACTTCTCCACTTCCCTCCATCGTACGTCCTTCCCATGCGGATCCGTCGCCTGTATAGATCTCAGCCTCGGAAAGATCCTCGACAGCAGCATTGCTACTTCGAGGGGATCCCCCACGATGGATCTCCCCAGAGTTAGCTCCAGCAGCTCGCCGTTACGCGCCACCGGTCGCTCCTCACGGCTGCTCTTAATCTTCCACTCCATCGTGACTGTAGAGTTGATGTTCAGTCCCGAAATGTCCAAGTCCCGCAGGTGTGGGCAGTGGAAGACAAGCTGTTCGAGCACGAGCAGGGTGAAATCCGAGCGACCTAGCCGCGACTGCTCTCCAAGCTGGAGCACCTGCAGTCGCGGCCAGGCCTTGACTAGGTCCAATAGGACGATGTTGGTCCCGGTAAAAGCGCACGGGAGTCGGAACCAGAGCTCCTCCAGATTGGCTAGACAACACAGAGGACGGAGCATATCGAGCGGCATGGTGATCGCCGATTCCTGAATACCTCCATGGATATGCAGAACCCGGAGGGAACTCTTGAGATTGCGTCGGCGGAGACGGCTGAGTAGGCTGGAGATGTCACCGCATGTGATACCGGGTGCTGTCACTTCCAGCGTACGTAGTGCGCAGCTCCTTATTGCTTCAACAAAATCCGAGCAGAATTGTAGAGTGTCTGCCTGCACGCGCAGGGTGGCGAGCTCCGAGAATGGTGGGCCTGGCAGAGCAGAGAAGTCGAGCATCACGCCGCTCGGGATCCTAGTCGCATTGAACTTCAGATCCTGTAGATTTGGCAAGGCCGCGAGTGCCACAATATCCGCGACAGATAGCAGCGGGTCCCACTCTAACACGCGGAGCGAGGCAAAACACGTGGAATTGCTGATGAGACGTCCCGGCGCAGGAAGCGGTGGGCTGTCCACACACTCGAATTTGAAGCACTCAAGTGCGGGTGTCTTGGTGTGAACAATGTCGAGCAGGCGGTTCAATCCAGCTCCCTCTGATTCGCCATCCAGCGTCACATTGAGGGCGCGCGGCCGAGGCACGAGAAATTCCAGCATATAGGCAAGGTTGTAGTTATCCATCCACCAATGAAGTGCTTGTAAGTTGGGAAAGAGCGGCACCTGACTACGGGCCGCGAGTGCTATAACGAGGTCGTCTGACGCGTTGGATCCTATCGCCAGGAACCGAACCTTTGCAGCATAGTACCGGAACCGGTCCAATTCAGCGGGAAGCGGGTGTCGTATCAGAGTCTGGCGAGGAAGGAGCCCATATGGGATGAGTATGCGTTTCACGGCGCAGGATTATTTCTGAAGGCACTGGACTCACAGGTGATCCCCCAATACACATTTGCCACGACTCCTCCGGAAGACACTTCACCAGATTCGTCACGCTACTCTGGCAGGCCCACAACCGATCCAACGCGGGCTCGCAGAGAGTAGCTTGCATGTCCTGGCCATAGCAGCCAGCCACTGGCAGGGAACATCGATACCATCTTCATCTTTCCATTCAATGAGGTCCTGTAAATTTTCTTCTGGGATAGAACCGCGGCTGTCAGCTTCGAGAGAGCGAACTATCATGCCGATGATTTCTGGAAGACGTAAGGCAGGGTGCATATTAGGGTGCGCAAAAACGGTAGTCAGTGCTCAGTATACAGGAGAGATGAAAGTACGGAGGTCGGGCGGTGCCTCCCGCGTTCGTATCCTTTTATATACTGCGAGTGCCACACTTGCCACACGCCAAGTCACGGCCGCACGCGTGAGAAAATGTGTCATTGACCTGTTACAATACCTGGCACGTGCTCCACACGCGCCTCTGACTCACATCCTCAGCACGGTCCAAGCACTCCACAACGATGTGCAAGAGCTATTTGCCCGCCCCATCGCAGCTGCCGAATCTGCAGCACTTGAAAGCCGAAGCAGGCAGGGCGAATCTTGCACTGCAGTCATCGGCAGACATCCTCCGTCACTTCAAGGGCTACTCGGACCGCGAGAGCCTGTCTAGTGGTGCAACGTGGAGAACCCTAACCCTACTACTAGTCATAAGCAGGTGGGACCAGCTACACGATCGGGTGGAAACTTGAACGCCGAAGACACAAGCAATGACCAAGCCATGTCGTCCCAGTCAATGTCCTGAACACTCTGTAGCGCTTTGCAAAACTAGTCCCCATAGAACAAGTAGGACATTGACAGGCGGAAAGACCTTCTCGAGCGTAGTGCGCTTTTCCTATGGAATGCGTTCACCGTGACAGCTTTACTGAGTGTGCCGAACTGTTGGATGCAAAAATGAACACTCTTTTCCTTAGCAATGACTGTGAAGCTCAAGCAGAACTAGTACTATGTCGATGCAAATTTCCCAACGAAACTGCCCTAGTGCACATCAGCGATATGCATCCACTCCTCACCTTCGTCATCCTTTTCTGACCCAGTATCGAGGACCCAGGGGCTGGGCACTGACTCGTTCATCCACGCATCCCACTCCGCCTCCTCTTTCTCCTCTCTGCACTTACTGAATTTGTTGACATACTCCTCAGCGGCCCCCACTTCGCCGGATCACCTTCCCAAAACACATAGCTCAGGTTGGAAAACATTACAACACTGTCCATCACAAAAAGAAAAAATGACTACGTCGACCACATAGAGGCCACGACGTCCATCTCGACAGCGAGCACGCGTCTTCCCGTGATATGCCTGTCGCTAGAAGCGCAATGCGAGAGGGCGCACGAGGAGCAGCGTGCGGAAGTGCTCGCCATCTTCTTCGAAACAATATCCACCCTCCGTCCGGAGCAACTAGTATTCAGAATCAGCCTGTCCGCGGTCCAGTGGAGGGAGATGTTTGGCCGGTTGACGAGCGTGAGTAGCCTTCGTCTGGCCGCCGGGGCCGACGAGCATGTGCTCGAAGCGCTCTGGGTCAAACACAGTAGGACGGTTGGACTCGCATCCGAGAATAACCAAATCCACCACGCCCACACCAGCTCCCCCACTGCCGACTCCGAAAACACCATCCTCTTCCCCGCCCTGCAATTCCTGATTGTCAACGAACTCGAAGGCTCCTCTACCCCCTACAGGGGTACATTTGCCGCGAGCCTATGGGCCGTCCTATACTCCGGCAGGCGCTGCGGGAGTATCCTTGAAGGATTGACTATGGAAAGCGCAGAGCGGTCGCCGCAAATGCGCGTGCACGCGTTGGAGGCAACAGTGCGCCGAGTCGAGCTGCGGGATCCCTGGGGCATGCCTGATATAGCGGAGTGTAATGATGTGGAAGTGACACAATCCACTCGCCCTCTTGAAGACGAGGAAAAGTCATCTGAGGAGGACGCTCGCAGTGGATACACCGACACGGATTGGGACTACGATGATTAAACCGATTGTTTCAGTCTTGTTCCGCCATTCATATAATCCGTATAAGCGATGTCCCGGGACTGCTTGATTGTCATTGTAGAGATCGAAAGTATTGCATATGTACAACAATCACCCCGAATTTATGTGTCTCAGGCAGCCATATTTCTCTACTTTATACTGGCGAACTCTCAGCCGTTGCGAACATCCTCTTAACCTTTACCGACATCTGCCTTCTTTGACGACAACAAGAAATACGAAGCGCCTCCTCTGCGAGACGTCTCAGAGCCTCTTTGGTCGCTCTTGAGATCGCATATGGGCTCTGCGGGCTTTGGGAGATCATTATCCCTCAAAAAGAGACGCCAGAAGTACCACTCATACTTCGAGGCGCCCGTCAGCAAATAGACGTCGAGCGCCCGACCGTCATTTATATCCGTGTCAATAGAAGAGCGCAGCGAGAGCAAGTACCACGGCGAGTGCAAGCACGTCATAAGCATGTCTCTCGACACCGTACCTTCTCTTGACCTGGAAATCCTGTCCGTCGGGACGCGCGTATCCTTGATCGAACGGGCCGAGTGGTTCAGCTGCTTCGCAGGGCTGACTAGGAGATGAGGATCAGTTTCTCAGGGCAGTCTGGGTTCGATACAGTAATGTCTCCGCACCTGATGATAACGCGAAGCCTACAGTTGGCACCAACTCGCTCGACGTGCGAAAGACCGGCACTGCGCTGTTCCCTCCCTAAACTTCCCTCCCCATATGTGGAAAGGAAGAATTTCCTTACTACGGTTAAATCTAGAACACTGCCGAGTAGAAAAATACAATTGATATCGAGCCAATACGGGTCACAACGAAACAGAATATTTCGATACTTCATTAAATAGCCAGGTACGTTGCATTCAAGAAAGAGATATACTTAGTGTCAGCGAACCGCATCAGGAGCCCAGAGAGCTATGATACAAGGTATCAGTCGCGAGGATATCTTGAAATTACCGCTTCTTGTTCTTTCTCTTCTCGCTAGACGGACCAGCCACGTCATTGGTATGGGTCGTCAGCGTCTTCGCCGCGCTGCCGTCTGAACTAGGCGCGTTCCTCGCTTGGGGCAACGGTTGAATGTTGCTGCCCGCAGGAGTCTCTGCCATGGACGAACTGTGGGTAGATGCAGAATCTGCATGCTCCTCCCTCTTTGCCTTTGCTTTCCTAAGCATACCCTTACTGCATGCGTGTGAGCATGGATATGCGACTAAAGTCTATATGGAGGAGCGTACGTGTTTGGTGCAGGAGCTCGCCGTGCGGCTTCGTACTGTAGGGCCTCCCTTTTCTTCATGGACGGCCGTCGGCTCCTGATACTACGCCTTTCCGGCTCCTGTGCAATGTCGACATGAGCAATCGTAGTATTACAGTATGGAAAAGACCATACCTTAGCTTTTTCATTTGTCGGGGCCGAGTGACCCATCGCATTAGCCCGAGTTACGGAAGGTAAAGCAACACCACAATTCACGGGAACGCCGCTCTCCTCAGGCTCTCTCCTATCAGAAGACCCATCTACGGATGTCGTGGAACCATTGAATTGCGAACTACCAGTGGCAGTGGGCGCATCATTCTTCGAGTTCGCTGTGGACGAGGAAATCTCGTCTTTGGCATCATATGAGACGCCGGCTTGCAGAGTGCCAACGCTGGAATTCGGTTTTTTAGATGCTGCCAAAAGAAACTCGTCGGTGGCATGCGTCACTGCAGATGGCTGTCCTCGCCGGCTACGTGACACTTCAATCACAAAGACCTTATAAAATGTGGGAAATAAGACGTACGGTCTTTCCCTCCAGCGTGGAGGAAGCATCGATGGCACAACCAATTGACCCTCCGGCCAGCTGGAATGAGCTCCGTCCGAGGCAGTGGCAGGACCTTCACGTGGTGCAGGTGGTGTTTCAAGAAGGTCCGGGGGCGCGATAGATGTTGGGCACAGGGCGTCAGCATGGACTGATTCGACTGTTGGAGGGCCTCCCGGGTTGGAGTCAGGGGCAGGGACGGAAGGCAGCGAAGAAGGATCGGTGGTGGAAGTCTTTTCTTCCTGAGGCTGAGACTGCAATGGCGGCGGCAGCGGATGGGCACTGGGCAAACATTCACATCACATAAAAATCTAGAAGTGCGAGATACAAACTGCGGCTTTCTCCAACGTGGCGGAAGGACCGAATTGCTTGACTCTACCCCCGAAGACTTTCGAACTCGGGCTCTAAACGGAGGGCGAGTTCAAAACAGAAATTTTACAGCCACTGGAGACGAAACGGACTCTATCTTCCTCAATCGAGGAGGTGGGACCGGATACTGAGGTGAAAAGTACCCCTCTTTTAATCTGGCCGATGCAGCCTCTCCCACGTAGGCAGTAGCTTCCGATTCGCGGGCCTTGTCCAATACATCACGATTGACCATTGTGAGACAGGAGATGGATATCAGACTAATATGGCCAGGGCGGTCTGCGGCAGAGTGGTGAGGAGAAAGCACAGAGAGAAGTGTGGCAAGCAGCGCAATGAACGCGGCGAGTTTCCCATCACATGATCACGTCCTCCCTTTGTGAACGCGCTTGCCCGCGAAACCACGCTTCACGCGCCTTAGCACTCTTCGTCAGTATCTTTCCTTCCACAGATCCCCCTAAGGTCGCTATCCACCTTCTGCCGGCGGAGAAATCGAGCCATGCTGCCACATCTGATACACTGCTTCTCTCTACGGAGCTCTCGCTTGCGGCGGTTCTGTGGATGGCGTCCCCGTGGGTTTCACGAAAGAAGGCCATGAGATTGATTCTTCGTCGCCGTTATAGCCCTCGTGTCAATCATGAAAGCCCAAATACGCTCTATGGGGCACGCACCTTTCATTCTTCAGGCGGATACTGCAGATCGTCGACTCCCTGTTCAAAGATCCGGCCTTCGCGCGTCCGCTTCAGTCTCCTCCTCTATTGTCCAACCTCAACAAAGAGCTATCAGCTATCTACTCAACCGTGACTACAGCCGGCAGGGAGGGACCGTGTCCCCAACTGGAACCTTTGTCGCGTCTGGGAAAAGGTCATAGCGAGCGGCATGTTCTCTGGACCTATTTTCCACGTTTGTCGAGTGCGTGGCATGAACTTCATGTTTCACTACCGTGACTAATGTCCGAGAATATTATTGAACAGTCTATTGGTCACAGACACCCACCTTCCGAGGACTTGTGGACGAGTCGACATTGACCTTGACGCGCTCATAGATTCTCCCCTGGTTGAAAGCGCGGAGAGCCCCACACGATAGCAATTAATCGTATGAGGGCCTCCATGATTCGCAACAAGAAGCGTCCGAGGGCGAATCTAAGCGATAGATTGAGAAGGTGATGAGGACGGTACGCTACCAGGAGAACCTGCGTGAGGAATGAACGGGGAGCAATGTTCCGTACTTACGCGTCTTTCAGCTAAAGTCCTTCCTGGCCAAGACGACCACCGGGGGCACCAGCTCCAGTACGACGGAGTCATACTGTGCGCATCCCTTCGACTACACACCGATGGAGCGAATTTGTTGCGAAATGGTTGAGTGCCCCCGGGAGATAGACAGTATCATCGATGAGTATATAGGTACGCCATTTTGTCATGATCTGGACTTGGGAGAAACCCGGCCAGCTCACATACGGGACCAAAACGCTACATGCAGGCGTGGAGTCTACGCACCTCATTCACCAGCGGCTTTTCATTCAACCAACAGCTCCGAATCGCCAGTGCGTATTCAGATCCCAGACGCGACTTGCGGATGCTTGACGCTGAAGACCCCTCCGATTTTTACCAGAGCCATCGACATGAAGGACGAGCAGTAGTTGTCGAGAGCACTAGGGATGCAGTACTGGACCGGGAAGACGCATGAGTTCACAAGACCAACCACTCTCGACCTCGTGTGGTGAGTGATGTTCCAGCCTTGCACACGAGCTGGACACTCACACAAGAGCCTGCCCAATGGTCAGTATCGGACCTTCTTGGAAGGAACGTTGTTCGTTCGCTCTATCCGGTAGTGGGCATACCGGCCAGGTTGTGCTGGCTGCAAAGCAACGAATGACGGAGTACTATGGTACTGGGTGTCATGTTCTCCCTGTAACCTGACTACGACGGAAGCTAACAGCGAGCCTGTTGAGCGAACTCTGAGCAACTCCATGTCGGTTTTCAGTAGGCACTTGGAATAGGCGCCCGTTGGCGAAGCGGCGGAATTGTAACTCCGCATCTTTCCAGCTGGGCTGCAACCAATCTTAGGCGCTCTTCGATGTTTCCGCTTCAATGCTCACTGGAAGTACACAGTGGAGTGCCGTGCCGAGTGCATGTTAGGCACTCCTTCATGATCTTAGCGGAAGCCTTACCCTGTATCTTCAGCAGCGACTCGAGCCTTCAAGGTTTGAAGACGTGGATCAGAAATGTACGTCTGGCCGTTGCTCCGTCTACGTCTCACAAATTCCGTTCAGTCTACTACAGAACTATACCGCGAATCTCTTCTGCACTCCAGTCGTGCGTCGAGCTGTGATGCGGCAGATGCCACTGTCGGATGCTGCAGAGGCATGATCATGTGACCCAGTGGCGCCGCGCGTAGGCGCGTCCACCGTGGGGCACACAACCTTTGCCACATCCCGCTACCCAGCATTTCCTTCCTCGAACCCCATAATACGCTCTGCGTCTCGTCTATTCGAAAGAAGCTAACAAACTACAAGGAAAACATCCGATCATGCAAGACCTCATCGACGCGATCAGCCTCGAGCCCGAAGGCGCCGGGTTCAACCTGGAAGAAACCTTCGCGCCCTTCACGCGTCTTGAGGCCAAGTACGGCGATCCGTCCAACGACAAACGCGTAATTGCGATCGCCTTCTCTCTTTACTGCGTGGCGACGTGCGCGAGCTACTGCACCGTGCTCGCGCCGTACAGTTCATTCTCTATCGCGTATGGCTCATTGATGCTCGCGCGCCACCTCTGTGGACGTGGACGTGGGCCGTTCTTCGATGAAGAAAGTTTGCAAGCAATGGGAGCGATGGACCTTCTTGTACAGAACGAGCATAGGAATTTGGTAACGACAGTTTGCTCGGAGGACCCGGAGGTGTCCTGGAAGCATTTATGGCGAATCGACGAGTTTTATGGCTCATGCAGAGATTTATTTCCCCCCGTCCCGAGCACTGAGGAAGAGTACGAGGCCGTCCCGACTGAGGCGGACTATGAGGCGGGCAGGGAGAAGAGGCCCCAGGTGAATCTGCTAGACTTTCAGTCCACGGTGGGGGCTATGTTCAGCTTGTCGTGAGCAATACGGAGACGCGGTCATCAACGTCGGAGACGAATGGCACTCCACGTGCGCAGGATTGAGAGCGGACTGACCACGAACCCATCAATTCTAAGACGACACGGCACCGATGCGTTTCAGGCCTATGCCACACAGATGGAGTATGTCAATGTTTATTCACAATACCTGTTCCTTTTCTTTTCCATGTACCTTTACTTCTCCGCCTTCCATGAATGTATCTATCCTTAGAGTTAGCCGTGAAGCTATTATCGCAGCCATTATTTGTATGCACGGTCGAGGAAGAGTGTATCATGTCTTCCCACTCCTCTTCTGTTTTGAATGAAAGACAGTCAGTTGTACGTACTGGCAGATGCCGCTTATACAGCGACATTAGTCGCCGGACCGACATCTCACGAAGTGGCACGGCACACACCTATGCGGTCCAGGAGTAAGCCACACTTACTAGCCATTACCTGACGAAGGGTTCATATACTGTGCGCTTAGTGGTCATGCGCACCGAACATCTACTCAGTGCCACTCCTCTATTCGACATACCTTCGCTGTGCGTCGTCTGATCCTTATCCCAAGATCGCATTTCGCGCTGCTGGATCTCCTTTGAGCGCCTAGTCCATCACAGAAGCATAGATACGCACGGCTCATTGAGACTGTATTTTGATTTTTTTACCTCCTAAGACAAACAAGCGCATGGTAATCAACTTCGGCACACCGCCATTCGCGATCCCGTAATCTGTCGAGAGCGAATTAACGGGATCCATCTGCTGAGACCAACTTCCGACACACTCGAGCGGTCTGCATGTGGTGCCCCTCTTTCCCTGTCGAAAAAACGCGGCATCAGAAACGGAGAACTGAGTAATGGAAAAGGACAACAAGAATGCCCACGCATTTGACCCGCCCTAGGAAAACCAGTCTATGTTGTTGATTGCTGGGCATCTTGCCAGGTGGAAACGCATAAGAGCTCTAGCGTAAAGCATAGAGCGAGACTTGTGCTGGGTAGATGTTGCATGCATCTGTGAGACAATATACCTTGGAGGAGAGACTGGCGTCCACGCGCATCCCGTGGCTAGCGAGATGCGCGGTCATGTGACATTGCGGGTCCACAAAAGACGCGTTCACGAGCCGACCGTGGGAGACGCAGCTTTCGCCACACCCACCACCACCACCGCCTCCCTCCTCCTCCGCACTGCATCCACCACCACAGACCACCACAGACCAGCAATCATGCAAGACCTCCTCGACGCGATTGCCGCTGAACCCGACGGCACCGTCTTCGTCCTAGACGACTGCGACGACGACGGCGCACAGCTCTTCTCGCCGTTCACGCGCCTCGAGCGCAAGTACGGCACGCCCCCACCCGACACACGCGTCCTCGCCGTCGCCTACGCCTTGTACCGCACCAGCCAGTCCGCGCACTACGCCGCCGCGCTCGGGCGCCTCTCCCCCCTCGACCTGGGCTACGGCTCGCTCCTCCTCGCGCGGCACCTCTGCGGGCGCGGGCGCGGGCCGTTCTGGGATGAGCCGAGCGTGCTCGCCATGGCCGCGCTGGACCGCATGGTCCAGAACGAGCGCGCGAGCCTCGTGCGCACGGTCTGCGTGGAGAGCCCCGCGGTGTCGTGGAAGGTGCTGTGGCGAATCGACGAGTTCTACGGCGCGGGGCGGGAGTGGCTGCCCCCGCTCCCGAGCAGCGAGGAAGAGTATGAGGCTGTCCCGACTGAGGCGGATTATGAGGCGGGCAGGGCGGTGAGGCCGAAGGTCAATTTGTTGGACTTTACGTCCACGGTGGGAGTCGCGTTTTAGCCCATTGTGAGCGATAGGTTAGTTGGCCGCTTCCCGACAAGTATACCACTTATCTGACGGGAAGCACAGCTCACCAGCGCAACGAAGACTAGGATTGTGAGTCCATTAGCGAAGATCGCGCCGAGTGAGAGGGCACTGACGTATTCCAGGCGCATCCCACCCATTGAACACACCGAATTCTCAGCTCCTCGTTCCCTACTATCTTCGTCTATCTGTCGTTCTGTTACTGTACCTTGGTTATTGTATCTTGTCCCCAATGTCATGTCGCGTCTCTGCCCTCTGCCCTCTGTCATGAACTAACTCAACCTCGAGCATCGTCTGTTACAGACGACGGGACATATACGGCTCACCTTGGCGATACCCGAAGTCCTGCATCATAATCCTTGCTGTCCGACACCCGCGTCAGTAAGGGTGATGGTCCTTCCACCTAGGGTGTGCATCGCATCTCTCGTCTAGTGCTTCCACAACGAAAACCTCACCGCAAAGTCACGTCCAAGAAACTCGCAACTGTGCCTCGGGGGATGCACCGCCTATTCGGCGGCGTGCCGGCGGAACGGTACACTGCTGGTTCGGAAGTGTGAGCGATTCGACGAGTTACTCGACCATGCATGCTAATTCTCTAACGCCGATTTCACTTACTGGCCGAGCACTCCACAGTTCGCGCACTTGCTTTCCCTCCTGTCTTGTCCTGTGTTGTGGCATCGTTTCCTTTCTTCACCGCACCGCCGCGAAGAATCAGCATCTGATACCTCGTCCAAACCTCGTCCAGCTCACTCTCGCAGGATATGATAACCTGCCTTGTATCGTGTGCCTCGCGTTCCGGAAAATATGCAGCCATATCCGGCCGAGGAGGCCTGCACCATGCCTGCTTTCTTGACCCCTTCCGTGACGATGGATTCGGCGAGTCCACCCGTTGGCTCGTTGAGCATCTGCCACGCTCACCTATCCATACCATATCACCCTATCTGTCGAGTTGTTCGATCTTGTCCCTAGGTCTATAAGGGATCAGCCCAGCACACTCCATCGCATGCGCAATTAACCGTACCGTCATATACAGCTCCTCTGCTTTCCAATATCAGCATCCGCACGTACCTCCCATCCAAGAATACTCGAAGCCAACGACGAAAGATAATGACAATTAATTAGTGCATGCATTAGCTCCGCGACTATCCTAAGTACGCAAGTCCGATTATGTCCAAGAACCAAACGAATGTGGGGTGAGTAATCCTCAAAACAAAGGGTATGGGATAGCAAAAAGCGAAGTCCGTTCGTCGCGAGTAATCCGAGAAATCTTCATCCAGCCCGTACCGTGTCCTCGATCTCGGTTTCAACGACCATAGGACGACACTCAAGCCGTCTCATCGACGTGCAGCGTCACCGCATAGCATGTGTCGTATTCGTACGCCGTCGCGTCGGCGCTCGCGTCATACACCACGACGTCCGCGGTCCCGCCCGCCTGGCGGCAAATCAAGAAGCGGTCCGTGTGGGTGTTGAGCGCGAGGGTGGGGAGGCTTCCCTGGGCCGCGCTCGTGCTAGCCTGCATCCGCGAACCACGAAAAAGATCAGCACCGAAATTGAATGCATGAATGAAGAGTAAGTGCCAAACGCACCACGGCGCAGAACACGGGCGCGGCGGTCGCGAGGTCGGTGCACGTGTCCAGGAAGCTGACGGCGCTGCCCTCGGCGGCGCCGGGCGAGACGGGCTGGCACTTGGCGTTGCTTGGCTCGTTCGCGGTCAGCCCGCCGTGGAAGAGGGAGAAGTTCGGGAACTGGGCGAGCGTGCCGGGCTGGGTGGTGTATGTCTGTATATGGCGCACGCGCAAAGTGAGAAGGAGAGCTCAGAAAAGTGCTAGGCAGGAGAGCAAAGGACACTCACGGCGAGCCCGTACACCGTCGCGCCGCTCCTGTCCGTCTGCGGGTTCAGCACGATCTGCACCCCGTTGTCGTTCGACGTCGCGTTCTTGGCGATGAGCGTGAAGTTGTACGCTACGTCGTACGCGCCGCCGCCGAGGCCTTTGCACCAGGGTCCGTCGGACTGACGTGTGTCGAGACGGGACGGGAGGGCGGCGACGAGAGGGGCGACGGCGAGTGCGAGAAATGCGAACATTTCTGTGCGATAGACGGTGGTGAGGTGGAGAGAGCGGGCAGGGACGACGACGAACGGGAGGAAGAAAAGGGAGAAAGGCGGGCGCACAGGTTGTGCGACGTAAATGAAGCACCTGATACTGCCAAGACGCCACTGTGCCGTGGGCGTTGTGCCGACGGTAACCCTAACCAACTCACTCGAGTTCAGATCGCATCCTTCCCAACAAAATCCAGGCGTCCGAATTTGAGGTTTACATGTGCATTACTATTAGACAGAGCTGTAGAGTGAAAAACATCGCATGTAGATGGCATAGTGCAATAGAGAGCAATGTATACATGAAAACGGTAGCAGATACAGCAGATCGCGTCGGCGTATACATACGACCGCGGCATCACTCCCCAGGGAACCGTAACAAGCTCAGTCGCTTACCCGACTCGTAGTAGCCCGTAACCAACTCGAACACTTGCACAGACGCCGGCGAGTACTTCTCATCCGCCAGCGACAGCCCATCGATCTTGACGTCCCTAGCCAGCAACGCATCCAGACGAAGTGCAGCCACGGTGACAGGATGTTCTTTCGGGAGCGAATGCAATACTCGATCGGGCGACAAGATGCAGGCGGCGACATACCGCGTGGCCCAGAACATCGTCGACGGGAGGACACCGATGAAGTCTTCGTACAGATAGGCCATCTTCACCAGGAACCTCGAGATGGCGATTTCCTTCTCGGTCCACTTACCGCCGCGTTCCTGGTAATACTGCAGCCAGTCATCGGGGCACCGGACAGAGAGCGTATCGCCGAGCGCCTCCACGAGTCTGAACCGCCAGCGCTCCACCTCTTCCGGCTTGAAGTTCGGACAAAACTCACAGAACCGCGCCGGGCTGTCCACCTCCTCGAGGCGGTTGGCCGCGGCGAAGAGCGCGGCGACGGCGAGCACGGGAAAGTCCTCGGGGCTGGTGCGTTTGAGGGATAGGAGGCGGTCGATCAGCGCGCACGCCAGCTGCAGCGTCTGCGGGTTCAGGCGCATCTGGTGGTGCAGGTTGTGGATGGAGAGCATGACGAGTCGGCGCTTGCCCCACTGCCAGTCGGGCTGGAGCATCTCGATCCTTCGGCGGTTCGGAAGTGTTTGGACCTGGATAACGTGAGTATCGTGGCTCCTATGTGTAGCGATAGGAACGTACCTCCGTCTTTCTCATCCATTCCATGACCGGCTCCATCGGGTACGGAATGGGCTGCTTCGAACTCGGAGCCCTCTCGAGATGCCAGAACGTCCACCACCCGTCCGGGTCTTGTCCTGGGTTCTCACTGATGGTCCATGAGCCCTTTCCGGGGTGAACGCCATAGTCATACTTCACAGTGCGGAGAGACATGGTCAACGGGGGAGACGTAAGAGATGGAGGTATTGCGGACGGCGATATGTTAGCGCCACGGGCGCAATGATGCCGAAGGGTAGGTATTCAGAGAGAGATTTGCCATACAAGTGCCCCCTCGCCATCTTTATAGCAAAGCCGAAGCAGGTCAAAGCGCTGGGTGGCGTTTTCTGCTTCGATGCGCTTTGGCCGCCTACGCCTGATTGGCCGCCACTCAGAACTTACTTGCGCCACGCTTCATAGTAATCAGAGTCTCCTAAAACTCATTGTGGGAGAATCTCGTTCAGTGGCGACGTAGGTCCAGCAAGTGAGGCTTGCAGAGAATGGTCAACGCTGCACACGCAGGCAGGGTCGACGAGGTGGCGTCAAGAGGGGCAGGCTTTGAACAAGCAGCCTGGCCGAACACCGTGAGCAATAGAATAACTCGTATACCAGCGACTCCAGTTCGGAAAGCGACGGACAGTGGTAGAACGCATATCCTTGAAGGAGAGCGAGAGACGAGACGAACGTCGGAAGCAGCCGAGCTGTTACGACCCGAAGTTATTATTAGCCGTCCAATGGGCGCCTAATTATCCCAGGTCGACGCTTGTCTCACCTGAATTTGTCTGAGCATCGACGAGGCTCAGGATCCCGCACAGGAGTCGTTTCTCTTCAGAGACGCCATATGAACCGGCCACTGTATGTTGCTCGGTATATCAGGTGCAAGCACGGGCAGAGCACGGAGGACACGGATACTGGTCTCTCCTGAGGAATGCGCACCGACAGCTCGAGCGGTCCCGCATCTCGCTGGAAATCCCATCGCGAGGGTGGCCTTCGGGAGCAAATGCATCTGCTGAGAGGGTAAGTAGAGGCTGGAATCCATATTCTTGAACCTTGCGTCCAGTGGCGGCCACACGAGTCATCTCCGCGTTCGCATGTGGTCGAACAGCGTCCAGGACAACAGGGACAGCGACACTTCTAGCATTTCAGCTGGCTTTTCATTACCTTCTGGACGCTCGGGGAACAGGTGTCAAGCTTACGCGTCAAGGGTCTGTCGGGTCGCCGCAGGAATCAGCAAACTAGTGTCTCTGCATCAGAACGAAATGCCTACCGGGGTCTCAGATTTATCATCAAGCTACGTTACTATTTCTTGTCTTGCGCACGTAACAGGCTCTCCTTCTGCGTCTTGGCGTACCCTGTTGCCGGTGGCGGATGCCAGTCTTCCGTACCTTCTACTTCGCGGCTATGTGCAACTGGTTTGGCAAGCTACGTCTATGATTACTTAGTCTCGCAATTTTCTGGCGTTCGTAACGGAATGATGAGGGTCTCTTCAATATTATCTTCGATTATCGCTCGCCAGATGACTCTGAACTCACCCCCTGTTGGCTCCGTCGCACCTTGACTTCTGCATACGACTCGGGCCGCTGGTCCAATGCCATTCTCAGTATTCGCTTGGATACTCCTTTGCTGTCCCCGATTAGAAATTGTGCAGTGCCTCAGGTCACGAATAACATGATCAGAAGACCTGCACGATTTGCGACCCGGGACACATTGCGGGTGACCGAGCGTATGCTACTCAATGTCCTTGATTTTTGACAAGCGAACGGTGCGTGCGCGGGAGGCCAAATATCTTGCGGATCCACGGCCATGTGAATAGACCACAAGTAATTAGAACAAGGAGCTCGATTTTTTCGTTTCGACGGAGACCTAATATTCGAATCGCGCCGCTCACCCCACTGTCGTATCCGGAGGCAGGGGCACCAACCGCCGTTTTACCGAGGTTCCCAAGCGAACGAAGGGTTCGAAGACATGAAAGTCACAGCAGGCGCGTAAAGCCCGACGTCGTGAACAGCAACTCGCCGACGATGCAGGACGCCGCCGGACGATCAAATGCTTCGTGTCGGGTGTCTTTGTCCTCGGATGGCCGGGCTCAGAATCAAAGGCTCGATCTTCATTCTTGGTGCCCTGGTGGGAACGGTCCACGAACCACCGAAAACGTGGCCTTTGCAGCGAGATGCAGAATATTCAATGCCGCAACAACTGATCGATGTCTTCAATGGCCAGAGGTGCGCAGATAGCTGAGACGTCCCTCTAGAAGGGTGGGATAACGGCTTCGGGATCAGAGAGGTCGCGTCGCGCGCGGTGGCGTGGTCCAAGCGCGTCCATAAAGAACAAAGGCGCAGGACGCGATCATGTGATAATCTGCACGGGGGGTTCAAGTTCGCGCTGACTCCTGCCACATCGTCTCCCCATTCTTTCTCTTCTCCACTCTGCCAGAGGCCGCCCGTGGCACGTCTCACTCGTAATCTCCTCCTGTCTCAGAATGCCCGAAAGTTGTATACATCCGTTCAAACTCCTGCGAGCGAAAAAGTATGCGTTGATGACCATCGATGATGATAACCCTTCCAGCTCGGATAACGAACAGTGCGTCCTGTTGGGTTTCGCGAAGTCTCTCTATCGACCTTCTTCTATACAGCTATACCTCCGATGAGCGATCAGAGGCGGAAGAAATCGAAGATTCAGAGTCGCTGCGTCCACCTCGCTGGCGGATGGGCAGGTTTGTCGTCTCGCTTCGTAAAAATACTTGCCTTGCTAAGTAACAAAGCAGCGGCCCCGCGGAGAAGGCAGAGGGGACAAAGGGTACTGCCCATATTTCCCCGTTGCATAAAGTCGCCAAGGCAAACTCTGCCAGAGCCTTACCTCAAGCGCTTCACGCCAACGACGCGAAATTATCCTCCTCATCGACCACGCCCTCTGTCTCCACTGCCGCTCCACAGGCTAGTGGCTCCCCGTGGTCCACAGACGATGTTTCCGACGGGCAAGAGCATGACATCGTCAATCACCACACTGAGGGCGAGAACAATCCCAAGGATGTCTCCACGGACGATAGTGCAGTCTCCTTGGGGATTCTGGTGGATGGGGTAGAATCTGGTTCGACAGCGGATGGTGCCAGCCTTCAGGTGTCTGTCACTCCAGCTGAAGTAGTGTCAGGAGCCCTGGTTGGAGGTTCAGAGAGTGATTCGACAGGCCAGGGAGAGTCTGAAGATGTCTTGGAGCCGCAGTCGTTGCTCCCGCCGCGTTGGCGTATGGGCAGGTTTGTCTTCTCTTGCGTCGCACAAAGTATGCCTTGCTAAGTATCAAACAGGGCCCGTGTGGACCGGTCGCAGCCTCAGTCTGGCGAAGATGGCAACGTGGCCGCCGCCGCTAACACACCGCCTTTGACCGGAAGCGCGAAGGTAAACTCTACCGCCGCCCCGCCTCAAGTACCTACAGCCGGCA